AGCTACAGAGCATTTTTGGAGAAACATGCATTGCACTGAGGATTTTCTGTACCTTACCTGTAACGGTTGCTGGTGGTGAGCGTGCTTTCAGTAAGATGAAACTGGTTAAAAACTACCTGAGATCAACAATGAGTCAGGATAGATTGAACAGCCTTGCCCTTCTCTCCATTGAAAGTCAGTTGGCAAGTAAACTGGACTTTAAGGACCTCATCAAGGATTTTGCCACCAAGAAGACCCGTCAGTGGGCACTAACTGGGCTATAAATTTCAGTGTTTAGCACTTTGTGAAAGTTTTTTTGTCCTTTATTAACGGAAATTGACAAGTGAGGTTTTTTTTTATCTTTCAGAGTAAATTAAGCATTTTGTTAATGTGGAACGCTGAAATGGCATTTTTCTTTATTGTAATATACTCCTTAATAAAAAGCTGTTCTCTTCAGCCAAATGAAAAAGTGTTTCACTTTTCATGCAGGTCTATAGTGTTGGGGGGGGGGGGGCCCATGGCCACTGCTTGTGCATAGGGCCCAGAATTTGGTGCTACGCCCCTGATCGTTTGTTATACATTTTCCATTAGGTTACATTTCATTATGAGCTAAAGTGCTGCTATCTGTGTCAGGTGTGCCGTGTGAAATTATTTAAATGCTTGTTCCCATGTATCATCACTCAAAACCTCTTTAAAATAAGTTGAAGACGTTTAAGCAGTATTTTGCGATAGGATCAAAATTAGAGGCCTGAAGAACGTACAGTGGTACCCCAGAACTCGAATTGAATCCGTTCAGAACTCCGGATGGAATCCTAAAAAGTTCGAGTTGTGATCAAATTTTCCCCATAAGAAATAATGGAAAACCAATTACACCCAAAAAATTACACCTAAATATGTTTTTTTTTTTTTAGCATTTAAACACAAAATGAACTGGATAAAACAAGAAGAGCATATGCTGTACTAAACACATCTAAGCACATTTATCAAAACAGTAATTTGTAAAGTAAGAAAATGTATCCAAACAATGTGTCCTGCCCCAATCGTCCACTCCTTCCGTGTGCCACGCCCCCTCAACCCCGTGTGGAATCCCCATGTGATCAGCTGTTTCTAGTTGTTTTCATTAGCCCTCTGTATTTCGTCCGCATTTCAGTTTGTTTCCCCAGTCCAGTCATTGTATTGTCCGTCTGCGTTTTGCCTGCCTTACCTGTAATTAAACCCGGTATTCCACGATACCTTGACGTCTGCGCCTTTGTCTCCGTTCTGTCCCCGCTCGGCACAACAATATTATTTTAATTAAACGTATTAATGGTTTATTATTAATATTAAAATTATGAATAAGAAATCTTTATTTTAAAATGTATTTTATTATATAATAATTACTATTGTTATTGTTACTGTCTATCATTGTCTAAATGTATTTTTGCTGTCTAAATATATGTATTCAGCTAGTGTAAACATGCAGGATGCTATCACAGCTAATGCGAGGCTGAGACTGAAGCGTATCCCTTTGTTTCTGCTGAGAGACGTGCCGCGAGACTGATTTCACCGCGCGTACAAGTTATCTTAGGTCGGTGTTCACGGTTCCACTTCTGAGATTCAGATTGAACGCTAGGTAATTATTTTTTCGAACTGGTTGGTTCGATTTTTAAGAAATTGAGTTCGAGAACGTTATAATGAGTTCGAGAACTGAGGTACCACTGTACTTATAAAATATGACCTGTCTGTAACATTCACAACATCCCCAAAGCCTCTGCCTAATGTTCTGCATGAAACGTTACGTGGCGAAGGAAAATCGAACGCCCGCCATACATTGTGAATAAAACGTTACCTGGCAGACCAAAATCGGACGCAGCTCTGGCGGACCAAAATCGGACAGATTCTGTCAAATCAAATGTACAGTTTTACTAAAATGTATACATATATACATTTCAATACAAAAAACTACATTTGGCCACAAATGAGCCCATTAAACAGTGGTCTCTCTTAAATACGATCGAGCCCATATCTCTGTCAACGCGGCTTTAACATCTGCTACAAACGCTCATATTGTGTGTGTGTGTGTGTGTGTGTGTGTGTGTGTGTGAGAGAGAGAGAGAGAGAGAGAGAGAGAGCACTGCTGTTTAAGGGGCTCTGGCACAAAATGTCACTAAACCGACAGAACATGTGAGAAATTAAAATAATTAAACGATTACAAAATGGCATTACCATTGTTAATTAATCACGATTCTTGATAGATCATTATTCTTAGAGTTCACATATACGAAAACGCATCTAGTTCAGCGGGCCATCAGACATAAATGTGAAGTATAGTCTGCTGACATACGGTCAATATCTCACTGCCCAAAACACTTTAATCCTTTGTGGTAAAGGTATTACGACAAGCAATATAGGCGTTTTTCACTGGTCAGGTGCCTGCGTGATGATTATGCGCTCATTTGTGGACTGTGAATGTGTAGACTTTATGCTTGGATTTTATGGTTTGTTCTTAGTAATCAAATGATATAAACCCATATGGCTTCTCACAAAAACTTATTTCAAGTAAATAAATCCTTCTTGAAGTACTGACACGGAATTCTATATTCATCGCTACAATTCAAAGCGTTTGTTCGGCATCAGTACTGATACTAATACCCACATAGGCTAACAGTGGACTGTTGCAACAAAAAGACGTGGCGTAAGACGAAAGAAATGTAGCTACTTTAAAAAATAGCATGTCTGACCTCACAGAATGAACCTGATTTAATGTGAACACATCTTGCATTGCTAAATATTGCTTCGAAGAAGTGGCATGACCCAGTTGTATCACGCAATTACCAAATTTTTTATACATATATGAAATGATGAAAGACACGTCGCGGCGGTGTTTCACTGAGGATTTCAGAACGAGCTTTTCGCTGCAAGTAACGTTGCTGAAGCTGCAGATATTAATTTGATTAGTAATCGTCCATACTAAATAGGTTCCTAAAATATGACAATAGCTAAGGACAACACATTTTCTTACTCTTCATTTATAAAGTAACCGCAAGATGGCAATAGAGCATCATTCGATTATAGTCGCACAACAATGCGTCAGTGCCACCAATTGTCCATTTGTCAAACTGACTAAGCAGTTAAGCTGTGCCTTATAAAAAAGTGTTTATCAAGCCACCGACAGACGTAACAGCTAAAAAATAATGATGGGTCGTATTCAGCATTATATGAGTCCGTTTGTAACGTTCAGGCTCAAGTTACTATAGTTGTTATGAAACATTATTAATGTAAAAAATTATACAATGTAAAGAGTGCTATAAAATATATGAATTGTTATTAAACTTGACACAGTGTTTGTGTTGACCCTCCCCCCCCAAAACATTAAATGTGGGTTTAAGCCATGGCGCTCAGTTTGAATTTCTTGTGAACTTGATCTTATGCTGAATCTGATCATGACGTCATAGATTGTGTGAGACGCTCCCTTTACTTGTCTGATCACTTCGCCTCAGGTGCTGTTTGGGGAGGCAGCAGCGCGCAAGTGATTCGCAGCGCATCGCTCCTCTTCAGCCTCGTCTGCTGCATTACTCTTTCCACTGATCAGGAGCATTGCTTTTTAAAATACGTAACTGAGAAACTATCTTATGTCCTCATGCAAAGAATTCCAAGCTTAATGTGGATTCTAACTTGGCATTTCTGGGTCTTGCGGGCAAAAGGCTACTCTTCATGGATAGCGGCGTAAAACCATGTTCGTCGATTTCAATGGCAGTTTTCTCGTCGTTAACACGAGGTCGTACATGGCAGAAGAGAGAGTTAAGGAACTTCGCAATGACGGCATGATCTCGGGGACGGTGAACGCGCGCCTGCCGGCTGCGCAGACAACACCCGCGACTTTGCCAACTTCCAGCATGGTGGAGAATGACACGAGGTGCGGGGAGCAGATCCTGAGCCACGGCAACATGGAGAAAGTGCTCATTGGGGTAATACTCACCATGCTTACCGTTCTCACCATCTGTGGGAATTTGCTGGTGGTTATTTCGGTGTGTTTTGTCAAAAAGCTGCGGCAGCCATCTAATTATCTGATAGTCTCTTTAGCCGTGGCGGACCTCTCGGTGGCGCTGGCCGTGATGCCCTTTGTCAGCATTACCGACCTTATTGGCGGACAGTGGATTTTTGGCAAGTTCTTCTGCAACGTTTTCATTGCCATGGATGTCATGTGCTGCACTGCCTCCATCCTGACGCTCTGTGTAATAAGTATAGACAGGTAAGTGCACCTTTACGTGCTCCTCTAAATCTATCCACCCACACCAGCATTCATTTATGTACCATAACCGCGTATTCGGTGTACGGTAGCGGTGAGCCTGGAGCCTATCGCGGGGATCCCAGGGCACAAGGCAGGATACGTCCGGCAGGGGACTAACATCCAAGTGCATTTTGGATGCTAACTGCAACGTGCAATATTAATTGCGCTGATAATTATTTATATAGTTTTGTCCCAAAATGTACGTATTTCGCCATTTTTCCAAGTCAAGGAGTTTATATAAGAAGGACAACTGACATCCAGATGTTTTCTCTCTCTCTCTGTGTCTCTCCTTCATATTACAGGTACCTTGGCATAACAAAGCCCTTAACATACCCAATGAGACAGAGCGGCAGGTGTATGGCCAAAATAATACTGTCTGTCTGGCTCTTGTCTGCCTCGATCACTCTACCACCTTTATTCGGCTGGGCGCAGAATGTAAATGATAACAAAGTGTGTCTGATCAGCCAGGACGTTGGCTACACCATCTATTCCACCGCCGTGGCTTTCTACATCCCCATGTCGGTGATGCTGATCATGTACCACAGAATATATAGGGCGGCCAAGGTGAGCGCAGCCAAACACAACATCGCCGGATTCCCTCGGCCGGAGGAAGAGGACAGTGTGGACTGCGTCTCGGCCGCCCTGAAGCTGCACAAGGAGGCGGAGGAATGCGCAAGCTTCTCGCAGCTCCTGCGCGCCGACCGGAGGAACATCTCGGTCTTCAAGAGGGAGCAGAAGGCTGCCACAACTTTGGGCATCGTAGTGGGGGCGTTTAGCATCTGCTGGCTTCCCTTCTTCGTGCTGTCCACCGCCCGTCCGTTTATCTGCGGGGTGCGGTGCAGTTGCGTCCCCTTGTGGGTGGAACGTACGTTGCTGTGGTTGGGCTACGCCAACTCGCTGATAAATCCCTTCATCTATGCCTTCTTCAACCGCGACCTGAGGACCACCTACCGCAATCTGCTCCGCTGCAGGTACAGAAACATAAACCGCAAGCTGTCCGCCGCCAGCATGCAGGAGGCCCTCAAGCTTGCCGAACGAAACGACTCCATGCTTTAGGTCGTGCGTCTAACAAGCGGCTAATCGAAGTGCAGAAACTGTTACGCTGTTCACACCTGTAAACTCAGCCAATGGGAGAACTGAATTGGCCTTATAAAGATGTATCATTTGTAACAGCGAATTAGTAGCCAATTATATTATATACTCACTATTTTGGATATTTTTGGCGATATGGGAAAACGGATTTGTAGATAACTGCCGTGGTTAATTACATTGTGGATTTTTTTGTTTTTAACGAATAAATCTAATTCTCAGACGAAAAAAAAAACACTTTTAATATTAAATATCTTGTTAAATTATATTAAACAACTTTACATATCCTATTTGGTGGGTCATTAAAGTTTCATTTCCAATAAGAAATCAATAATAGATTGCACAGATAAATGTATCCCTACAATTGATTTGTAAAGCACCAGACATTTTTAGAAAATATTCTTGCTAGCCTCTGTAAAGTATGCAATGATATCCAGATACCAGAACATCCTTTTAAAAATTGGTAGATAAAATTATGAATATGGTTTGTTAGCGTGCAAGTATCCGAAACAGCATATCAACTATAATTTAACATTGAGCTGTGGAATTACTCTCTCAGGGGCAACTAGGAAAAGAAGGGAAATATTATACCTTTTGCAAAGGACATGTGTTATTTACCATATTCAGTATATATACCCTTAAAACTGTTGAGTATAGAGTAGAAATTGGGACAACAATTTTGTCTCAGCTAGTTTGATTCATTTCCACTGGTCCTGAGGTTTTAATATTGAGTGTCTCCTCTGTCTGCTTCAAAAGCACATAGTATAATTATTACTGGGATGTATTCTACAAAAAATAATAGTTGTTAGAAATCATGATGTAGTGTGCTGTATATTTGGATAGATCATGAATTTAAATGGGTGTTTTATGGTGTCCCTGGAAACTTCTTGTCGTTGAGTTGAATTTTATTCACGTTCTCATTGGGAAGTAATACTGATAACAGTAATATCTGTGATAACAAAAAGTACTGTTATTATTATTGTGGAAAAAGGACAAGCAGCTCTCAAAACACTTTACGTTCATGGTGTCAGGATTTATTGCCGTAATTGCACAAGGTGGCAATAAGCATTTATTTTAAGGCGCAGCTTAAGTGACTCTAAAAGATAAGCATGAATGCTACGGTTTGTGCCACAATTATCTGTCAGTGTGTATAGACACCAGAATAGGTATTTCGCTTGCCTGGCATTCACGTTACAAACGTTTTAACGAAATAAACTGTGAAGTGAGCTGAAGTCTGCTTTGTGTGCGTCTTTACTGTTGTTCCCATACATATTTCAAAAAGAGAGAAATTAATACTTGTCCCCCCCCCTTTTGGTAGCTGTCATCCAATACAAATGGTGTTCGGAGAGAAATTATTGGAATTAATAACAACTGTGAACTTCTTTTAATGGTTATGGATATAAATACTCCAGCACATTACATGTTACACCAGCTTTGGAGCCACAACAAGCAAAATATTTGGTTTAATGTTCCAGCAGTCAGCTGATATTTTGTGGGAATGAGACTGAGAACATAAATCATCAATTGGCCAATAAGCAATAAATTTACATAAACAGCATCAAACATCAGGATAAAGTAACGGTGATATTCAGAAGGACAGCGCTGTCTTTCTGTGTGACCTATGGTCCAGTACGCCAGGAGACATGGCAATCCACACCACTGACAGAACCAGTGACGGCGCAGAACGGCTTTATAATTAGAAAGAGAACATTAACTGTCTTCCAGCTGTGAGGAAGACAGGAGGAGGCGCGGGATGGGGGGAGGCGCGGGAAGGGAGCAGCCAGGTGTCTTCTATTTTCCAGTATCGCACAAGCCAACAGATGGCCTGCAATTTGTCAAGAGCAGTTGCTGCTGGTGGTCATAACCAGGCCCATAGGTACCACCTCCAGCGGGTGCAAAACCTGAACGATGAACACCAGCCTAGAGCATACGCAGAGAACAAAGCACAAAGCATACATCCCAAATAACCTTTCCAGACACATTTCATTACCTTGCTTTTGGTAGCGATTCGCAAACTTCAGTAATATTCGCAGAACAGTAATAGTGTGGCATTAGGGAAAGGAATGCAGCGGTGAACCTGGATGAATTTAATATACTCTTTTACACCGTGAGCCAGCTACATAACCTTAACAATGCACCACTGAAGACACACAGCTATACAAAGTGCAAGTTCATCTGAACAAAAGTGTCAGCTGAATTACTAAGTAATATGACACTGCACACCAATCATGCCCGCAAAAGCATTAAAAATAATGACTTGTCTGACTTTGTGTTGCTGTGGACAGCCTAGAGAATGCTCAGAAAACCTAAGGGACGCAGAGGATAAGGTGGTAGCCCCTGGCAAAATGATTCTGACAGACAAACTACCTGGGTCTCCATAAAGTTATAGTATAATTACTAAGATTCATGCCACACAGCCCAGCACATGAACTTCACTGTGTTTAAGTATTTCATACAGTGCTGATGGCAAACACCCAGCGAGACAAAAATTACATCGATATGAAGGTCTGATATGGGGAGTGGGCAGCCGTATATGGCCGTTTAGTCGACGGCTTGGCAGATTTATGAGGAGAGAGCAATAGGGACAGGCAGACTAAATGAAATGAGTTGCAAGGACACAGAGAGTGCAGAAGAAGCAGCAGCAAAGGTATCGATGTAACCAAGCTTTAGAAACACTGACATTGATGGCGGGAATGAAGCTGGAGAACCCCTACATCCCCATATATATATATATATATCCATGCATCTCTGAAATGCTCCACATGCAATGAGATTATTGTTATATTTTATTGTGCTATATTGTCTTATGCTATTGTGTTATAATTATCCAACCGATCTTTTGACAAACAGAATATAAAAAAAGAAGACGTAAAATTGACATGTTCTGTAAGCGAAAATGGAGGTCACATTTGACGGGTTGCATAACCCGTAGGATATTATTTTTGTAAACCAGTAAAATAATTGGAAATAAAGTCAGGTATTGAAGTGAAAAGAATATATCAACCGAAAGCAAAAATAAATTGTAACTTACTAGGGACATTTAAAGCTAAACAGTTCTATGGTGTTTTAATAAGGATTATAAAACAGTTGAAATGTAGTGTATCTTGCTTTGCTGACCTAGCTGACCATGACAGCAACTACTGGGTTATAAATTGGACTGGAGAGACAAATTTCAAAACATATTTATACAAAAATATGTAGGGCAATTCTCATAAAGCACAGGTGTGGAATATATGAGTTTTTTTAACTAGCCTGAGAAGCTACAACCAGCCCAAAGTGTTAAAAATCTTGCACTGACAGGCAAAATCACTACTAGTTCTTAAATGGCTCAGACATTCTGACGTGAACAATAAACTGTGAATGAGTAGAATGTCATTCTCTTCAGAGCAGCACCACTATGCTGAGAGAGTTGCAGGTGTGAGCTCTGAGTATGCTCTCTATTACCTATAATGAGGAAGACAGCATGGGTGAAAGTCAGGTGCGTTTATTTCTGGTGTTTGTTTTCTGGAGAATGATGGTTGCACACACAGGTCCCCTTTCAGGAACCTGTAGAGAAAAAGGGGTCAACAAATTTGTAGAGAAAGTTTTTCTGTGTACAACTGCAATACGATTTAAAGGACAATTATAGGGAAATTATATTACTGGTTGCAAAATTCAATAATTGTCACATAAAAGAAATATTGGTCAATTTCACAGGAAAAGATCCCTGATCCTCCACAATAAACGGCCAGATTCTAGTTCTTTCCTTGTTTCATTATAACTTCCAGGATAACAGCGGCTCAGTTTGTGGGCTGTTAGGATCCATATTTAAAATATGTTCATCAGAAGACGTCAAAGGCACCAGATGGGCTTTTATAACAGCCAAGAAGAGCCAACCTCAATCACTTAGCAATTAGCATTGTCACGTCCAGCCCACCACATCCACCTGACCCTCCTGCCTCCTCCCTCATTTGTCTTGACTCTTGTTCCTACCCTCATGTTCATCACTCCCAGCTGCCTCCTGTTAGCTCCCTCGTTAGTCTCATATATACATGCTTCCCAGTCCTGCATTCCCCAGTCATGTCTTTGATGTTATGCCTTCTTGTAGTCTATGCCCAGTTCACCGGTGTTGATCCCTGTGAATCCTGTTTATTTCCAGCCTTTGTTCATCGCCTTCAATAAACTTCTTTTGTTTCTCCACCACACCTGCCCTCGAGTCCTTCATCCCATCTGTCTTGACAAGTATTGGTTAGAGAGTTGTAATAAGGTGCAAGGTTTATAAAGACACACAGTAAACTTTACCCTGGGTTTAGGGAAACACAGTGCATATTTTGGTTTATGAATATGCTCCATCATTCACCATCACCTTTTTTAAGCTGCTCAAAACAGTACCAGAGACCTTAGAGCAGAAAAAGTCATGTCATGACTGTTTTTGTGTGCAAGGGACAGGCCTGTTCCAAACTCATACTACAGAGGCTGTATTTTCTTGTTAACTACATGACACTCAGAAATCAGTCTGCATTTTAGAAATTTGAGCTTTGTGGCAACTGGTAAGTTATATATGTGGATTTTTTATAATTCGACAAAGTTATCATCAACACCAAGAAAATTTTCAAATAGGATATTGAAATATATACTGTAAACCATCTGAAATTCGGCGTTTGGGAATATTTTTATCTTCCTTTAAATTAGACCCCAAGGCCTTACTGGTAAGAAAGCTTTCTGTCTGCTTTCATTCAAATACTGGTCATTTGACTGTCCTTTTGCAAAATCTTTGCACAACTAGGGAAATACATTCTCATTTTAAAATATCAACTTTAGAAACTAATATTAACAATAAAACGTTGGTAGTTTTCACAGTAGGACAGTTTCCTGAATTTATTAATAGACACAACTGCTGTATACAGGCGATAAGTCTTTCAAAACCAGCATCTGCATAATGAATATGATAAATCGGGTTACTGTTATGGCAGTTGTTTCTGTCAATACGCGGCTGACACAAGTAATCAGCTACTACTGTTTTAAGACAATTTAGAGGAAAATAAACACACACTCATCCTTACAGTTGGCACAGGATGCAATTATATACCACAATATGGACATTATGCATATAAATAAAATACAAAGATCTCAAACACTTAGTAAATATATTTTATATACGGTAACCGTTACCCATCCTACAAGTTAACTCAAGAGCCATACAGCGGAGGAACTTAACATACATAATCTATTTTAAATTTTATTTCCAATACCGATGATCCTCCTCCTTTTCAAATCCTGCTTCTAGTAATTCCGCATCTGTTTTTTTTTGTCAAATAAATTATCCCAGATAGAAATGCACATAAAGATAGCGGAGCTTGTCATTGTTATTCTGTAATTCCATTACTTGAAGCGTACTTATGCTAGATTAGATGCACTCAGCAGGATCTTTGTGCTTAAATGCAGTTAGAAAATATTAATTCTGGGTAGTGATATTATTGTCACTGTAGTGTGTTTTCACGCTTGCACATCGGATAAACTGAATATCGCAACGACGAATCAAATTAATATTAACCTCCAGTCGTCCTTACGTAGCTAGGTAGCTGTTAGCTATTAAGTGGCAACCTGGGAACGGAAAATAAGGGAAGCTGGCATAGTTGCTCCATAGGTTCGTCCCGCGTTTCCAAACATCAGAAGTGACCCTACAGTCACAGATATCTTCACGGCACCATGAAATCACGTGACGAAGGGTCACTCGACATTAACTTGGAAACAAACCAAGATATAAAACCTACCAGCAAGAAAATATTACTGCAGAAAAAATGTAGGGAACAATCCAGCAAAAAAGGAAGAAAATCAGAGATATAAATTACTTTTATATTTCCAGACAATCGTTTTAGTCTCATAGATTAGATAAGGAATGAGGTGCCCTGTCAGCAAATTTTGAAATTCTTTCTGGAGTCTGGGGACGCACTTCTCCAACAAGATACTATGCCATATATATTCTTTTCAATTTCAGTGAAGGTAATTTAATTGGAGCATAATTTATTTGCTATCGGTGACATACACATGAAAATAGTTTTCGTTTTTTCCCCACAGCATATAAAGTGTCCCCCTCTTCTTGGGGGAAAAATATTAGCAGTAAAGGGATGATGAAAAATGAATTTTGGAAAGCTCCTTAAAGGTGACCTGGAGTTAATCGATAATTTAACAGGGGAAAAGTTTAGACAGAGTATTCAGGATTTAATCCATTGCTTT